CTAGTCGAAGTAGTCAGGTGAGGTGAAGCAGGCGGAGGCGGCGTCATAGTGGTACCATCCACTAGTCGAAGTAGTCAGGTGAGGTGAAGCAGGAGGGGCGGGGTCATAGTGGTACCATCCACTAGTCGAAGTAGTCAGGTGAGGTGAAGCAGGAGGAGGCGGGGTCATAGTGGTACCATCCACTAGTCGAAGTAGTCAGGTGAGGTGAAGCAGGCGGAGGGGGGGCGTCATAGTGGTACCACCACTAGTCGAAGTAGTCAGGTGAGGTGAAGCAGGAGGAGGCGGGGGTCATAGTGGTACCATCCACTAGTCGAAGTAGTCAGGTGAGGTGAAGCAGGAGGAGGCGGGGTCATAGTGGTACCATCCACTAGTCGAAGTAGTCAGGTGAGGTGAAGCAGGCGGAGGCGGGGTCATAGTGGTACCATCCACTAGTCGAAGTAGTCAGGTGAGGTGAAGCAGGAGGAGGCGGGGTCATAGTGGTATCATCCACTAGTCGAGTAGTCAGGTGAGGTGAAGCAGGAGGAGGCGGGGTCATAGTGGTACCATCCACTAGTCGAAGTAGTCATGTGAGGTGAAGCAGGAGGAGGCGGGGTCATAGTGGTATCATCCACTAGTCGAAGTAGTCAGGTGAGGTGAAGCAGGAGGAGGTGGCGTCATAGTGGTACCATCCACTAGTCGAAGTAGTCAGGTGAGGGTGAAGCAGGAGGAGGGCGGGGTCATAGTGGTACCATCCACTAGTCGAAGTAGTCAGGTGAGGTGAAGCAGGAGGAGGCGGGGTCATAGTGGTACCATCCACTAGTCGAAGTAGTCAGGTGAGGTGAAGCAGGAGGAGGCGGGGTCATAGTGGTACCATCCACTAGTCGAAGTAGTCAGGTGAGGTGAAGCAGGAGGAGGCGGGGTCATAGTGGTACCATCCACTAGTCGAAGTAGTCAGGTGAGGTGAAGGAGGAGGAGGAGGTGGGGTCATGGTGGTACCATCCACTAGTCGAAGTAGTCAGGTGAGGTGAAGCAGGAGGAGGCGGGGTCATAGTGGTACCATCCACTAGTCGAAGTAGTCAGGTGAGGTGAAGCAGGAGGAGGCGGCGTCTAGTGGTACCATCCACTAGTCGAAGTAGTCAGGTGAGGTGAAGCAGGAGGAGGCGGGGTCATAGTGGTACATCCACTAGTCGAAAGTAGTCAGGTGAGGTGAAGCAGGAGGAGGCGGTGTTATAGTGGTACCATCCACTAGTCGAAGTAGTCAGGTGAGGTGAAGCAGGAGGAGGCGGTGTTATAGTGGTACCATCCACTAGTCGAAGTAGTCAGGTGAGGTGAAGCAGGAGGAGGCGGGGTCATAGTGGTACCATCCACTAGTCGAAAGTAGTCAGGGAGGTGAAGCAGGAGGGAGGCGGCGGCGTCATAGTGGTACCATCCACTAGTCGAAGTAGTCAGGTGAGGTGAAGCAGGAGGAGGCGGGGTCATAGTGGTACCATCCACTAGTCGAAGTAGTCAGGTGAGGTGAAGCAGGCGGAGGCGGGGTCATAGTGGTACCATCCATTAGTCGAAGTAGTCAGGTGAGGTGAAGCAGGAGGAGGTGGGGTCATAGTGGTACCATCCACTAGTCGAAGTAGTCAGGTGAGGTGAAGCAGGAGGAGGCGGGGTCATAGTGGTACCATCCACTAGTCGAAGTAGTCAGGTGAGGTGAAGCAGGCGGAGGCGGGGTCATAGTGGTACCATCCACTAGTCGAAGTAGTCAGGTGAGGTGAAGCAGGAGGAGGCGGGGTCATAGTGATATCATCCACTAGTCGAAGTAGTCAGGTGAGGTGAAGCAGGAGGAGGCGGGGTCATAGTGGTACCATCCACTAGTCGAAGTAGTCAGGTGAGGTGAAGCAGGAGGAGGCGGGGTCATAGTGGTATCATCCACTAGTCGAAGTAGTCAGGTGAGGTGAAGCAGGAGGAGGTGGCGTCATAGTGGTACCATCCACTAGTCGAAGTAGTCAGGTGAGGTGAAGCAGGAGGAGGCGGGGTCATAGTGGTATCATCCACTAGTCGAAGTAGTCAGGTGAGGTGAAGCAGGAGGAGGCGGGGTCATAGTGGTATCATCCACTAGTCGAAGTAGTCAGGTGAGGTGAAGCAGGAGGAGGTGGGGTCATAGTGGTACCATCCACTAGTCGAAGTAGTCAGGTGAGGTGAAGCAGGAGGAGGCGGGATCATAGTGGTACCATCCACTAGTCGAAGTAGTCAGGTGAAGTGAAGCAGGAGGAGGCGCGGGTCAATTAGTGGTTACCATCCACTAGTCGAAGTAGTCAGGTGGGTGAAGCAGGAGGAGGCGGCGTCATAGTGGTACCATCCACTAGTCGAAGTAGTCAGGTGAGGTGAAGCAGGAGGAGGCGGTGTTATAGTGGTACCATCCACTAGTCGAAGTAGTCAGGTGAGGTGAAGCAGGAGGAGGCGGGTTATTATTGGTACCATCCACTAGTCGAAGTAGTCAGGTGAGGTGAAGCAGGCGGAGGCGGCGTCATAGTGGTACCATCCACTAGTCGAAGTAGTCAGGTGAGGTGAAGCAGGAGGAGGCGGGGTCATAGTGGTACCATCCACTAGTCGAAGTAGTCAGGTGAGGTGAAGCAGGAGGAGGCGGGGTCATAGTGGTACCATCCACTAGTCGAAGTAGTCAGGTGAGGTGAAGCAGGCGGAGGCGGCGTCATAGTGGTACCATCCACTAGTCGAAGTAGTCAGGTGAGGTGAAGCAGGAGGAGGCGGGGTCATAGTGGTACCATCCACTAGTCGAAGTAGTCAGGTGAGGTGAAGCAGGAGGAGGCGGGGTCATAGTGGTACCATCCACTAGTCGAAGTAGTCAGGTGAGGTTTAAGCAGGCGGAGGCGGGGTCATAGTGGTACCATCCACTAGTCGAAGTAGTCAGGTGAGGTGAAGCAGGAGGAGGCGGGGTCATAGTGGTATCATCCACTAGTCGAAGTAGTCAGGTGAGGTGAAGCAGGAGGAGGCGGGGTCATAGTGGTACCATCCACTAGTCGAAGTAGTCATGTGAGGTGAAGCAGGAGGAGGCGGGGTCATAGTGGTTCATCCACTAGTCGAAGTAGTCAGGTGAGGTGAAGCAGGAGGAGGTGGCGTCATAGTGGTACCATCCACTAGTCGAAGTAGTCAGGTGAGGTGAAGCAGGAGGAGGCGGGGTCATAGTGGTACCATCCACTAGTCGAAGTAGTCAGGTGAGGTGAAGCAGGAGAGGCGGGGTCATAGTGGTACCATCCACTAGTCGAAGTAGTCAGGTGAGGTGAAGCAGGAGGAGGCGGGGTCATAGTGGTACCATCCACTAGTCGAAGTTGTCAGGTGAGTGAAGCAGGGGAGGCGGGGTCATGTGGTACCATCCACTAGTCGTAAGTAGTCAGGTGAGGTGAAGCAGGAGGAGCGGGGGGTCATGTGGTAAACCATCCACTAGTCGAAGTAGTCAGGTGAGGTGAAGCAGGAGGAGGCGGGGTCATAGTGGTACCATCCACTAGTCGAAGTAGTCAGGTGAGGTGAAGCAGGAGGAGGCGGCGTCATAGTGGTACCATCCACTAGTCGAAGTAGTCAGGTGAGGATGAAGCAGGAGGAGGCGGGGGTTTCATAGTGGTACCATCCACTAGTCGAAGTAGTCAGGGAGGTGAAGCAGGAGGAGGTGGTGTATAGTGGTACATCCACTAGTCGAAGTAGTCAGGTGAGGTGAAGCAGGAGGAGGCGGTGTTATAGTGGTACCATCCACTAGTCGAAGTAGTCAGGTGAGGTGAAGCAGGAGGAGGCGGGGTCATAGTGGTACCATCCACTAGTCGAAGTAGTCAGGTGAGGTGAAGCAGGAGGAGCGGCGTCATGTGGTACCATCCACTAGTCGAAGTAGTCAGGTGAGGTGAAGCAGGAGGAGGCGGGGTCATAGTGGTACCATCCACTAGTCGAAGTAGTCAGGTGAGGTGAAGCAGGCGGAGGCGGTGTTATAGTGGTACCATCCACTAGTCGAAGTAGGTCTTCGTCCAAAGGTTGAACAAGTGTTGAAGAATTCTTTGTAACAAGATCCCATGATGCTGCCTTCCTCTTTGTATTGGACTGATGAAGCCACTGTGTGGCGAAACGTTTCCTGAATAAAGATTCCCATATGCTGCATAAGTGTCTCAATCTTCAACTTGTCGGTTTTTCAAACCATTCATCACATCTCGGTAATCTTTAACTACCGCCCACATGATGGGTATGGTGTAACTACCGCCCGCAGGATAGGTATGGCGTAACTACCGCGCTCAGGATGGGTATGGGGTGACTACCACCCACAGGATGGGTATAGTGTGACTACCGCCCACAGGATGGGTATGGGGTGACTACCGCCCACAGGATGGGAATGGGGTTACTACTGCCCGCAGAATGGGTATGGGGTGACTACCACCCACAGGATGGGTATGGGGCACATAATTAAGATATTAAACTAGCTAATAATTGCTAGGAGTTTCGAGTCTAATGGGTCACCACACATTTTTTACAGTCTTCCCCTTAGTAATACATTGGATCTCTAACTAATAAACATTCGTACAAATCCTGATAAAAAAAATCTATGATATTTTCTGCTGGTAAAGTTATATAAACAGTGTTTACTCTAGATATTATAATTATTATTGTGTTTACATTGTTCCGTTATCATGTGGTTAATATTATGCTATCAATATTAACTCATAAGATGGTTGTAAGGTAATCTGGGAAGGGATGGGGTTTGAATCCAAGGCAAGTGAGGCCTAAAACTGACATGCCAGTGGGATTTATGTGTAAAAAAACCTGTGTTTGTGGTCATAGTTGTGGCCCATGCTAACCTGAATATGATGTATAGAAATATATCTAGTTAGATGAAGGTTATTAAAGCCAGGTGGCCCAGTGGTTAACACACTGGCCTCTGTGTTACAGCTCTCACTTGCCATGGGTTCAAACTCCATCCGTTCCCAGATGTACTTAAATACTTTCAGAATCGTATTGATTACTCTGAGAATATTTTCCAGGGAGGTGTTCAGTATAACGTAGTTCCAGCAGAACTCAGCGTTGGCTTTGATATTCGTGTTACTCCCTCTCAAGACTTGACGGAATTTGAGCAGAAGATAACGAGCCTTTGTAAGGCTGCTGGAGATGATGTTACTTACGAGTTTGTGGTGAATAAGATCCCCGAACCTTCAGAGAGACAGGTAATCTATGTACTGACGAAACTGTGATGACACGATTGTATATCACAGGCGGGGTTAGAACCCGCTATCAAACAGTTGTGGAGCTCCAGACTGCTGCGCTAGCCACTGCGCCAGTGGTTGATGCGTCCGTTTGGACTTTCATGAGTGATCGCGGGTTTTAACCCCACCTGTGGTATAGTTTGGTAATTTATGTAGTTTCTTTACGGAATAATTTTCACAGGAGATAAATGGAACTTTATCTTTGCAAGAAATTAACTCATCAGAAATTATACTTCCTAATTTCTGTATGTCAGCCTATTAAGCCTAAACTTGCTGAATAGGCCTAGCTCCTTTAAAAATAATTAAAAAATTATTTTTTACAGAATGACCGATATTTTCTTTACAAACATTGATGTAAAATAAAGTTTTTTTTATTTTTGGATCAAAACTAACTTAGACGCCTTGCATAACCTCACTTAAACTAAGTTTTTTTTAGCTAAGTTCTGCTATATATATCATAGGTCAATTTTCATTTATATATTATTTACCCCCGGTTAACGATATTATCTCACTCCAGAAGTATGTTCAGGTGCCAGTACTGACCGAATTTATTCCCATAAGGAATATTGTGAAGTAGATTAGTCCATTTCAGACCCCCAAACATACACGTACAAACACACTTACATAAATACACTTACATAATTGGTCGCATTGGGAGGTGGTCGTAAAGCGAGGGTCCACCGTTATCCTCAGATAGAATTTGGCAGAGTTAAAGATGATAGAAATTTTTTACTCTGGCTATTTGACAGTAAATGGCAAATTGGCCAAACTCCCCTGTTCGGCTTGCACAACATGCTTAGTGACCTTTGTAATTAATCTCTTATAGGTAAACCACAAACTGTAATTAATATTTTACAACAGGTAAACCCAACACTGTGATCTTTACAGAGGAATAAACAGATAATTCTTCAATTATCTGTCATCAGTTTACGGTTTTTCATTGGATGTGATTCATATTATAATTACTGTGAACGAAACTAATGATGTAAAATAATGTTTTGATTATTTCTTAAAGTGGGAAATGAGACAAAAACTGATCAATATTTGATCAATTTTGGGTGAAGTGGTACTAATAAATTGTAAAGTAGAATTTAATCTTTTCTAACGGGTTTAATTAGTAATGATTTGATAATACATTAACTTCTTAAAGATCTAAAAACTAATGTTCTAGTTTTAAATTGGTGAAGAACCGCCACTGACCAAAAGCTCTAGCCTTCACTGTGTGGCTAAAACCACGTCAGGAACACATTCAAGTTATTGACGAATATTACTTAACCTAACCTAACCTAACCTGACCTGACCTAACCTAACCTGACCTAACCTAACCTAACTAACCTAACCTAACCTAACCTAACCTACCCTGACCTAACTAACCTAACCTAACCTGACCTAACCTAACCTAACCTACCTAACCTAACTAACCTAACCTACCTAACCTAACCTAACCTAACCTAACCTAACCTAACCTAACCTACCTAACCTAACCTAACCTACCTAACCTAACCTAACCTAACCTAACCAAACCCTAACCTAACCTAACCTGACCTATACCAAAACCTAACCTACAAAACCTAACCCAAAACCTAACCTAACCTAACCTACCTAACCTAACCTGACCTAACTAACCTAACCTAACTAACCTAACCTAACCTGACCTAACCTGACCTAACCTAACCTAACCTGACCTAAGTAACCTAACCTAACCTAACCTGACCTGACCTAACCTAACCAAACCTAACCTAACCTGACCTAACCTAACCTAACCTACCTAACCAAAACCTAACCTAACCTAACCTACCTAACTAACTAAACAACCTAACCAACTAACATAACCTAACCTAACCAAACCTAACCTGACCTGACCTAACCTAACCTAACCAACCTAACCTAACCTACCTAACCTAACCTAACCTAACCTAACCTAACCTAACCAAACCTAACCTAACCTGACCTAACTAACCTAACCTAACCTAACCTGACCTAACGTAACCTAACCTAACCTAACCTGACCTAACGTAACCTACCAAACCCTAACCTAACCTAACCTACAACCTAACCTAACCTAACCTAAACCTAACCTAACCTAACCAAACCCTAACCAAACCCTTAACCTAACCTAACCTAACCAAACCCTAACCAAAACTTAACCTAACCTAACCTAACCAAACCAAACCAAACCCTTTACCTAACTAACCAACCTAACCTAACCTAACTTAATAACCTAAACCTAACTAACCTACCTAAACCCCGACCAAACCCTAACCTAACCAAACCCTAACCTAACCTAACCTAACCTAACCTGACCTAAGTAACCTAACCTAACCAAACCCTAACCTAACCAAACCTAACCTAACCTAACCTAACCAAACCCTAACTTAACCTAACCTAACTAACCTAACCTAACACCTGACCTAACCTAACCTAACCTGACCTGACCTGACCTAACCTAACCTAACCTAACCTAACCTAACCTAACCTAACCTAACCTAACCTAACCTAACCTAACCTGACCTGACCTAACCTAACCTAACCTGACCTGACCTGACCTAACCTAACCTAACCTAACCTAACCTAACCTAACCAAAACCTAACCAAACCTAACCTGACCTGACCTGACCTGACCTAACCTAACCTAACACATAAAATGTGATTTGAATTAAAAAGTATAATGTAACTTTTCAGAAGCAGCTGACCTGTGTGGAAGATGGTCAGAATCCCTGGTGGGACGCTTTCTCTCAGGCTTGTGAAGATGAGTATGTTATTTTATCTTATTTATTTAAATTTAATGTTATTACAGGTAACTTCTCTTCCTCCTCTGTGTTTTGTATAAGTGTTGTTGATCACAACGATAAGGTGATCCATTGAAGAATGTTCACTCTCACTGAATGTTATTTCCCAGCCTCTGTTAGGAAGACCTATGCAACGAGAACAACTTATTCCGAAACTTTCGCCTACCAAGCTTCTTCAGTCGATCAGAAAAAGGCAGGGAACATAGAGATTTGAGACGATTAATCAGCACACCCTTAAAGTTCGTGAATTTGAGGTTTCATCCCTCGGCCTGGAGAAGTTCATTTCCATAGTCAGAACTACCTGTCGTTTGTATGCCATTTGATGTTCAATTCCCACCTTGAAAATCAAACGGTGGTTTTAAAAATCTGTCATGTGAGAAACAGATCAATAGAACTTGTCCCGTTCTAATGCTATATTTATGTTGGTTTAATCTTAGTTCAAGATTTTTACCGTTGGCCATGGTAAACTTTTCGCTGTTTAAAAAGGAACTTATAGACAACTGTCAGATTTGAGGAAGCTGACAGTTTCTGACACTGTATTGTTCCTGACCAACCTTACCTAAGACATAAGATATATATGTACTAATGTTGGCAGAATTACCCACAATGTGTTAGGTAAAAGGACACAAGTGCAGCTAATATAATGTGAAATGTAGCTACAATAAAATTCACAGTAGGTGCACTTGTGTCTTGTAACATATCACCTACATAATAGGCTTCTTCAGTCAAATATAGAGGCAGCAGGTGTAGTAGTGAAATGAAGATGGTGTAATCAGTCCATTAACCTCGGAGAAATGGTATTTGAGGTGGTCAGTCCCTCAGCCTGGAGAAGAGTTCAGTTCCATTGTCTTAAGTTCCGTCGAAGGTGAGGTGGGTGATCTTGAAGACATTACAGGGGATTGGTGATTAGGGTTGGATTCTAGAGGGACCTGCCTTCTTACTTCTACTAGTCAGCCCCAGCCCCTACAGTGTCTTCGAGATCTTCTACCTCACAGGAAGGATATAGGAAAGCACTGGTTTGGTAATAGAGTTGTGGATGAGTGTAACAAACTCCCCAGTACAGCTATAGAGGCTAAAACGTTGTGTAGTTTTAAAAATAGGTTAGATAAATACATGAGTGGGTGTGGGTGGATGTGAGTTGGAAACCCGACTAGCTTGTGCAACTAGGTCAGATGCCGTGCTCCTTCCTTTAAATTTAAAAGTGACCTGACCTGACAGGTTAGGGCATTGACTTAAGCCGGTAGAAGAGATGGATCTGCCTCACATGGGCCAGTAGGCCTGCTGCAGTGTTCCTTCTCTCTTATGTTCTTATGTATTTAAGAATACATTATCATGCTTCAGCTCATCCACTCTGGACAGAGGAGACATCCAATCCTCGAGTCACGAGACAGGCACACGGAAGCCCACGGCTTCCTCCGAAAGGAAGAGGTCACGATGTTCCAGTGACTCAAAATGAGGACTCGGATTTTTGGGAAAAATGGGGCGCAATTCTGGCAATGAAGCTTCAGGACTCTGGACTCCTGGGCTCTTGGGACAGCGAAGGAACGCTCAGCCCAACCCCAGATATACTGGATAAAGAAGGCTGCAGGCAACAGGCGCCCCGAAGTCCCAAAGAAGACATTAAGTTTCCATACCTTAGATCTGGAAAGCCAAGTAATTTCCAGGCGAGAAATTTAAGTTCATAAGAAAACAACTTCACGACGCTACGTATTCTGCTATAATTCACTTCGAGAAGAAATATCACTTGAAGATATTAGTGTCCTCAAATCTGTGACTTTATCAAGTCACAAACCTGGGGTACTCGCTTACCTTTCACCCAGGTAGATCTGTTTGTGACTTGAAAAAGCTCACTGTGTGAGCGAAACGTTGTCAATAATGGGTCACATTATACTGCGTATGTGTTTAAATTTCCAGAACCCTCACCTCTGAGCAGCAGCCTCGTCCAGAAACGGCTACAGTAGCAGTAGATCCAGGGGCCAGGAAACATGAGTGACTGGGTCACGCCCTTCCTCATCCAGCTTCTGATACTATTGACCAAACTCCCATCCATCAACGGCAGCCAATGGGCCCCAAAATGCAACAGCAAGTTACACCCAGAGCGCCAACCCCAGCACCACAACAGTTACCAGTAAGGACCATTGTAGTCCAAGAGAACACAGCAGCACATCACGTATTACCCCTGAGCCATCACATGCTGTTGCAAGTTTTCCCGGCCACCCACACAGGGCCCAGAGACAATGTTGGGGAAGCCTGATGGCCTCAACCAATTGTTAAAATTAAAATGTTTTACTGTGGATCGTACAGGGAGAGTGTTCAAAGAACTTTCACGGCACACAAAAGTGCGATAAGGCACCTAAATTACTGGGAATGGTTGAAGGTCCTTGATCTGTATTCCCTGGAACGCAGGCGAGATACATGAAGGTCCTGGAGGGATTGGTACCAAACCTGCACACGAAAATCACTCCACGTGAAAGCAAAAGACTTGGGAGGAGATGCAATATTCCCCCCGATGAAAAGTAAGGGTGTCACTAGTACACTGAGAGACAACACAATAAGTATCTGGGGCCCAAGACTGTTCAACTACCTCCCAGCATACATAAGGGGGATTACCAATAGACCCCTGGCTGTCCTCAAGACCCCTGGCTGTCCTCAAGACCCCTGGCTGTCTTCAAGACCCCTGACTGTCTTCAAGACCCCTGGCTGTCTTCAAGACCCCTGGAAGTCTTCAAGACCCCTGGCTGCCTTCAAGACCCCTGGCTGTCCTCAAGACCCCTGGCTGTCCTCAAGACCCCAGGCTGTCTTCCAGACCCCTGGCTGTCTTCAAGATCCCTGGCTGTCTTCAAGACCCCTGACTTTCTTCAAGACCCCTGGCTGTCCTCAAGATCCATGACTGTCTTCAAAACCCCTGGCTGTCTTCAAGACCCCTGGCTGTCTTCATGACCCCTGACTGTCTTCAAAACCCCTGGCTGTCTTCAAGACACCTGGCTGTCTTCAAGACCCCTGACTGTTTTCAAGACCCCTGGCTGTCTTCAAGACCCCTGACTGTCTTCAAGACCCCTGGCTGTCTTCAAGACCCCTGACTGTCTTCAAGACCCCTTCCTGTCTTCAAGACTCCTGACTGTCTTCAAGACCCCTGACTGTCATGACCCCTGGCTGTCTTCAAAACCCCTGGCTGTCTTCAAGACCCCTGGCTGTCTTCAAGACCCCTGACTGTTTTCAAGACCCCTGACTGTCTTCAAGACCCCTGGCAGTCTTCATGACCCCTGACTGTCTTCAAGACCCCTGACTGTCTTCAAGACCCCTGACTGTCTTCAAGACCCCTGGCTGTCTTCATGACCCCTGACTGTCTTCAAGACCCCTGACTGTCTTCAAGACCCCTGGCTGTCTTCATGACCCCTGACTGTCTTCATGACCCCTGACTGTCTTCAAGACCCCTGACTGTCTTCAAGACCCCTGACTGTCTTGAAGACCCCTGGCTGTCTTCATGACCCCTGACTGTCTTCAAGACCCCTGACTGTCTTCAAGACCCCTGGCTGTCTTCATGACCCCTGACTGTCTTCATGACCTCTGACTGTCTTCAAGACCCCTGACTGTCTTCAAGATCCCTGGCTGTCTTCATGACCCCTGACTGTCTTCAAGACCCCTGACTGTCTTCAAGACCCCTGGCTGTCTTCAAGACCCCTGGCTGTCTTCATGACCCCTGACTGTCTTCAAGACCCCTGACTGTCTTCAAGACCCCTGGCTGTCTTCATGACCCCTGACTGTCTTCATGAACCCTGACTGTCTTCAAGACCCCTGACTGTCTTCAAGACCCCTGGCTGTCTTCATGACCCCTGACTGTCTTCAAGACCCCTGGCTGTCTTCAAGACCTCTGGCTGTCTTCAAGACCCCTGGCTGTCTTCAAGACCCCTGGCTGTCTTCAAGACCCCTGGCTGTCTTCAAGACCCCTGGCTGTCTTCAAGACCCCTGGCTGTCTTCATGACCCCTGGCTGTCTTCAAGACCCCTGACTGTCTTCAAGACCCCTGGCTGTCTTCAAGACCCCTGACTGTCTTCAAGACCGGTGGCTGTCTTCAAGACCCCTGGCTGTCTTCAAGACCCCTGACTGTCTTCAAGACCCCTGGCTGTCTTCAAGACCCCTGGCTGTCTTCATGACCCCTGACTGTCTTCAAGACCCCTGGCTGTCTTCATGACCCCTGACTGTCTTCAAGACCCCTGACTGTCTTCAAGACCCCTGGCTGTCTTCATGACCCCTGACTGTCTTCAAGACCCCTGGCTGTCTTCAAGACCCCTGGCTGTCTTCATGACCCCTGACTGTCTTCAAGACCCCTGACTGTCTTCAAGACCCCTGGCTGTCTTCATGACCCCTGATTGTCTTCATGACCCCTGACTCTCTTCAAGACCCCTGACTGTCTTCAAGACCCCTGGCTGTCTTCATGACCCCTGACTGTCTTCAAGACCCCTGGCTGTCTTCAAGACCTCTGGCTGTCTTCAAGACCCCTGGCTGTCTTCAAGACCCCTGGCTGTCTTCAAGACCCCTGGCTGTCTTCAAGACCCCTGGCTGTCTTCAAGACCCCTGGCTGTCTTCATGACCCCTGGCTGTCTTCAAGACCCCTGACTGTCTTCAAGACCCCTGACTGTCTTCAAGACCCCTGACTGTCTTCAAGACCCCTGGCTGTCTTCAAGACCCCTGGCTGTCTTCAAGACCCCTGACTGTCTTCAAGACCCCTGGCTGTCTTCAAGACCCCTGGCTGTCTTCAAGACCCCTGGCTGTCTTCAAGACCCTGGCTGTCTTCAAGACCCCTGGCTGTCTTCAAGACCCCTGACTGTCTTCAAGACCCCTGGCTGTCTTCAAGACCCTGACTGTCTTCAAGACCCTGACTGTCTTCAAGACCCTGGCTGTCTTCAAGACCCCTGACTGTCTTCAAGACCCCTGGCTGTCTTCAAGACCCCTGGCTGTCTTCAAGACCCCTGGCTGTCTTCAAGAAGGCACTGGACAGGCACCTAAAGTCAGTACCTGACCAACCAGGCTGTGGTTCGTATGTCAGCTTTCGTGCGGCCAGCTGTAACAGCCTGGTTGATTAGACCCTGATCCACCATAAGGCCTGATCACAGACGGGGCCACGGGGGCGTTCACCCCCGAAACCCTATCCAGGTAAACTCCATGTAAACTCCAGGTAAACTCCAGGTAAACTCCAGGTAAACTCCTGGTAAACTCCAGGTAAACTCCAGGTAAACTCCAGGTAAACTCCTGGTAAACTCCAGGTAAACTCCAGGTAAACTCCAGGTAAACTCCTGGTAAACTCCAGGTAAACTCCAGGTAAACTCCAGGTAAACTCCTGGTAAACTCCAGGTAAACTCCAGGTAAACTCCTGGTAAACTCCAGGTAAACTCCTGGTAAACTCCAGGTAAACTCCAGGTAAACTCCAGGTAAACTCCAGGTAAACTCCTGATAAACTCCAGGTAAACTCCAGGTAAACTCCTGGTAAACTCCTGGTAAACTCCAGGTAAACTCCAGGTAAACTCCAGGTAAACTCCAGGTAAACTCCAGGTAAACTCCTGGTAAACTCCAGGTAAACTCCAGGTAAACTCCTGGTAAACTCCAGGTAAACTCCAGGTAAACTCCAGGTAAACTCCTGGTAAACTCCAGGTAAACTCCAGGTAAACTCCTGGTAAACTCCAGGTAAACTCCAGGTAAACTCCAGGTAAACTCCAGGTAAACTCCAGGTAAACTCCAGGTAAACTCTGGTAACTCCAGTAAACTCCAGGTAAACTCCAGGTAAACTCCAGGTAAACTCCTGGTAAACTCCAGGTAAACTTCTGGTAAACTCCAGGTAAACTCCAGGTAAACTCCAGATAAACTCCAGGTAAACTCCAGGTAAACTCCAGGTAAACTCCAGGTAAACTCCAGATAAACTCCAGGTAAACTCCAGGTAAACTCCAGGTAAACTCCAGGTAAACTCCAGTAAACTCCAGGTAAACTCCAGATAAACTCCAGGTAATCTCCAGGTAAACTCCAGGTAAACTCCAGGTAATCTCCAGGTAAACTCCTGGTAAACTCCAGATAAACTCTAGGTAAACTCCAGATAAACTCCAGGTAATCTCCAGGTAATCTCCAGGTAAACTCCAGGTAAACTCAGGTAAACGCCAGGTAAAACTCCAGGTAAACTCCAGGTAACTCCAGGTAAACTCCAGGTAAACTTCTGGTAAACTCCAGGTAAACTCCAGGTAAACTCCAGATAAACTCCAGGTAAACTCCAGATAAACTCCAGGTAATCTCCAGGTAAACTCCAGGTAAACTCCAGGTAATCTCCAGGTAAACTCCTGGTAAACTCCAGATAAACTCTAGGTAAACTCCAGATAAACTCCAGGTAATCTCCAGGTAATCTCCAGGTAAACTCCAGGTAAACTCCAGGTAAACGCCAGGTAAACTCCAGGTAAACTCCAGGTAAACGCCAGGTAAACTCCAGGTAAACTCCAGGTAAACTCCAGGTAAACGCCAGGTAAACTCCAGGTAAACTCCTGGTAAACTCCAGGTAATCTCCAGGTAAACTCCTGGTAAACTCCAGGTAAACTCCAGGTAAACTCCTGGTAATCTCCAGGTAAACTCCAGGTAAACTCCTGGTAATCTCCATGTAAACTCCAGGTAAACTCCTGGTAAACTCCAGGTAAACTCCTGGTAATCTCCAGGTAAACTCCAGGTAAACTCCACGTAAACTGGTAAACTCCAGGTAAACTCCAGTATTTAAAATTATATTTCTCAAATGCCACTTCGAGGGACTGATCACATCATCACAATACCACCGCCGGTACCTCGGTGTCTGACTGAAGAAGTCTACTGTGTAGACAATAAACAACACTGCACATGTGTCTAAGTCATCAACTTGAGAGATACAATGACAGAAACACAGTAAACATCAACATGAGAGATACAATGACAGAAACAGAGTAAACATCAACATGAGAGATACAATGACAGAAACACAGTAAACATCAACATGATGACTAATATCGGTCTGGTGTTTCAGAGGCATAAATCTCGACAAGCAAATATTTCCTGGTGGTACTGACAGCAAATTTCTGAGGCAGGTAAGACGTTATAATTACATTTTTTCTGTATTTTTGTAATTGTTACTTTAGATTAATCTGTTTGTATGTATAGTTCTGGTCTTCAAGTTACAGGATTAGTATAAATACGCTGGATAAAGTGCAGAGATGGTCAGGGAATTTGATTTTTTTTATAAGGGGCCATTTTTACAAGAATTTGCGGCAGCCATTAAACAGGTAGTCTTAAGAAAGGCACAGAGGAATATAGAGGTACCTGTGTAGCATTTGGATTTATTTCTACAGTTCACTTGTCTATTACAAGCAAATTTCCTAAATTTGTTGATATAAATCCAAATGTACACCTGTTAACGCTTTTGCAGTCTAGTTCCTGGACCTTTTGTGTATCCATATGCTCTTGTGCTACCGTCCACAAGATAGTGTGGAAGTGTACAATAAACTAGCCATTTCGGTGGAAAAGTCCAAACCTAAATCTTTGGAAAGACGTAGAATTAGGGGAGATGTGACTGTAGTATACAACAACATGAATAACCAAGATAGGAGTCGCAATAATGGATTCAAGGTGGAGAAATTTGTGTTTAGAAAGGTTATTGAGAGGTACTGGTTTGGCAGTAGAGTTGTAAGTGGAAAGAACTTCCACGTAGACTAACTCGGGCTGTAACATAAAAAGAGTCTTTGGAGCAGACTGATAGTAGGTCTTCCATGCACTCTCGTAGGTAGTGGTAAGTGGCAGGAGAGATGGGATGCTTAGACTACGTGAGATGAAGAGAAGGGATGCTTAGACTACGTGAGATGAAGAGAAGGGATGCTTAGACTACGTGAGATGAAGAGAAGGGATGCTTAGACTACGTGAGATGAAGAGAAGGGATGCTTAGACTACGTGAGATGAAGAGAAGGGATGCTTAGACTACGTGAGATGAAGAGAAGGGATGCTTAGACTACGTGAGATGAAGAAAAGGGATGCTTAGACTACGTGAGATGAAGAGAAGGGATGCTTAGACTACGTAAGATGAAGAGAAGGGATGCTTAGACTACGTAAGATGAAGAGAAGGGATGCTTAGACTACGTGAGATGAAGAGAAGGGATGCTTAGACTCCGTGAGATGAAGAGAAGGGATGCTTAGACTCCGTGAGATGGTATTGATCTAGACACGACTGTTTCTTTGAAGCAAAGATTTTATACCAGGACTTGAAGAATTGAGACACTTATGCAATATAAGGGAATCTTTAGTGAAGAAACGTTTCGCCACACAGTGGCTTCATCAGTCCAATACAAGGCAGGAAGGTGTAAGGAGAGGAGTAGTTTGAGGTAATCAGTCCCTCAGCCTGGAGTCGATGTGTTCAGTCCATCAATCTTGCAGAAAGTAGAGCACAGGGCCAGAGAGGTGGCTTATATCCTGTAGTCAGGTGAGTGGCAGCAGGAGGAGGCGGGATCACAGTGGAACCTGCCACTAGTGTAAGTAGATCTTCGTCCACAGGTTAGACAAGTGTTGAAGAATTCCTTGTATCAAGATCCCATCATGTTGCAGTGTCTGACTGATACACTTATCTAACATATGGGAATGTTTACTGGAGAAACATTTCCACACAGTGGCTTTATCAGTCCAATACAATCCAGAAAGGTTGGACAAGTGTTGAAGAATTCCTTGTATCAAGATCCCATCATGTTGCAGTGTCTGACCATCTAGTTACTAGTGGCAGGTTCCACTGTGATCCCGCCTACTCCGGGTTCCACTTACCTGACTGACACTATGCTGTACTTTCTACAAGACTGATGGACTGAACACATCGACTCCAGGCTGAGGGACTGATTACCTCAAACTCCTCCTCTCCTTACACCTTCCTGCTTTGTGTTGGACTGACGATGCCACTATGTGGCGAAACGTTTCTTCAGTGAAGATTCCCATGTATTGCACAAGAATCTAATTTAATACCTGACAAGAATATTTTTTTTATATATTTGCAGATGGTAATTTTTAAATATTTCAGATTTAGCTGGTAATTACTAGTGTTCTCCCCAGGTCAACATTCCAGCTCTTGGTTTCTCCCCATGAATCTAATTCCTAGCATTGTATTCTCACCAGGTCAACATTCCAGCTCTTGGTTTCTCCCCCATGAATCTAATTCCTAGCATTGTATTCTCACCAGGTCAACATTCCAGCTCTTGGTTTCTCCCCCATGAATCTAATTCCTAGCATTGTGTTCTCCCCAGGTCAACATTCCAGCTCTTGGTTTCTCCCCCATGAACCGGACACCAATTCTTCTTCACGACCACAATGAATTCCTCAACGAGAAAGTATTTCTACGTGGCATTGAGATCTACAAGACCATTATCAGTGCCCTTGCTAACATGAAGGTCTAAGGTCGTCTGATTCACTGTATCATGTCTGGGATTGATGGTACCATGAGACCTGGTCATGATGGAAATAAATGGTATAAAATACCGACACAATGGAAACATAAACACATATGCAGTGTATTAACAACGTTTCGCACACACAGTGGCCTTTTTCAAGTCACAAACAGATCTAGGTAGATTTGTCTGTGACTTGAAGAAGCCCACTGTGTGGGCGAAACGTTGTCAATAAAGGATCACATTAAACTACGTATGTGTATATGTTTCCAGACCTGGCCATAGACGGGGCCGCGGGGGCGTTGACCCCTTACTATATAAGGAATCTCCCATATGAAGATAGACTAAGTCTACCCTACGTCTCTCTGGAGATAAGTAGGGTGAAGGGACATATCTGTTAGCCCATACTAGGATCTGCTTAATATGGGCTAACAGGCCTTCTGCAGTGCGCCTCCTTATGTTCTTATGTATAAGCGGATGATGGGCATAAACAAAGGTAATATTGGTAAAGTAGTGAGGTTGTGGAACCAGGTAAGAACCAGAGATAATACAGGAGTGAGACGGGTTGGTTATGAGTGGGTCGTACACGTGAGTAAATGGAATCATCAACGCTTATTGCTTGGGTAGCAGTTATTCTGCCTAGTATGGGCCAGCAGGCCTATTGCAGTGCTCCTCCTTCCTTATGCTCTGGCTCGGTGCTATAATATAGTTTAATACATTAGGTAAAACACTGGTAACTAAATAAATTATAAATCCCAACCCTCTAAATTATTCTTTTTTTTTGACCTATAACCTTCAATCTACTGTTTCTTGTAGACGAATGGTTCATAGAACCGACAAGTTGATTAATTATACACTCGTGCAGCTCTTGGGTACCTTTATCTAGTAAACGTTTCTCCACACAGTGGCTTCATCAGTCCATACAAAGGAGAATGGTGAACAACAGGAGGAGTTTGAGGTAATCAGTCCCTCAGCCTTGAGTCGATGTGGTCACTCCATCAATCTTGAAAGGAATACAGCATATGTGGGAAGAAGCGGCTTATATACTGTAGGTAGGTGAGGTACAGCAGTCGTAGGTGGTGTTACATCTGACCTACTTCCATATTGGTCAAACGTAATATCACCTACGACTGCTGTACCTCACCTACCTACAGTATATAAGCCACTTCTTCCCATATATGACTGGTATAATGTTCCTGCTGATCATGTGACTGACTGGTATAATGTTCCTTCTGATCATGTGACTGACTGGTATAATGTTCCCACTGATCATGTGACTGACTGGTATAATGTTCCCGCTGATCATGTGACTGACTGGTATAATGTTCCCGCTGATCATGTGACTGACTGGTATAATGTTCCTGCTGATCATGTGACTGACTGGTATAATGTTCCCGCTGATCATGTGACTGACTGGTATAATTCCTATGACTGTAACTGTTGAGAGACCTTTAACAATAACTTAGAGCTGCCACTCAAACCTGGTACTCTAAACCATACAATGGGTGGGGTTAAAACCCGCGGTCAGAGAGTCATAAAACTCCAGACCGACGCTTTAGCCACTGGGTCAGTTGGCTACAATAACATCCAACTAGGTATGTTTCTACACCATAGGAAGGTTAGCATAGGCCACCACTGTGACCACAATCATGTCATAACGATTTCGTGAGTCATGTTGACGGCTTTGAGGGGACTTGAGCTAGAGTTCGTCACGGCCACGCTAGCTGGAGATTCGCTTGTAAAAACTTGCATTTGTGGTCACAGTGGTGGCCTATACTAACTTTCCTATGGTGTATAAATAAACCTAGTTAGATGTTATTGTAACCAGCTGACCCAGTGGCTAAGGCGTCGGTCTGGAGTTTTATGACTCTCTGACCGCGGGTTCTATCCCCGCCGCGCTTCCAATCGCGTTATTACGATTTAGTGAGTAAGGTGCTGTAAACCCAACTAATTTCCATAACAATCATACCTGCTATAAAAACCATACTTATTACAACGATCCAAAACACTGAAACACACTGCCCGCAGACTAGGCCTATAAAATATCGTATCCCTGGAAAGCTGAGCCTATTCCAAACTGCCCTTGTTGCTGCCAGAGAGGGTATGACACAGCTGGGGCAGACTCTGAAAAATTGTTAATGATCTCAGTGATCATACCCCACTTACCTGGGCATGTAGTACTAGGGGGAGAGAATGATCTTAGTACTAGGGGGAGAGAATGATCTTAGTACTAGGGGGAGAGACTGATCTTAGTATAGGGGAGAGAATGATCTTAGTACTAGGGGGAGAGAATGATCTTAGTACTAGGGGGAGAGAATGATCTTAGTACTAGGGGGAGAGACTGATCTTAGTACTAGGGGGAGAGAATGATCTTAGTACTAGGGGGAGAGAATGATCATAGTACTAGGGGGAGAGAATGATCTTAGTACTAGGGGGAGAGAATGATCTTAGTACTAGGGGGAGAGAATGATCATAGTACTAGGGGAGAGAATGATCTTAGTACTAGGGGGAGAGAATGATCTTAGTACTAGGGGAGAGAATGATCATAGTACTAGGGGGAGAGAATGATCTTAGTACTAGGGGGAGAGAATGATCATAGTACTAGGGGGAGAGAATGATCTTAGTACTAGGGGAAGAGAATGATCATAGTACTAGGGGGAGTGAATGATCTTAGTACTAGGGGGAGAGAATGATCATAGTACTAGGGGGAGTGAATGATCATAGTACTAGGGGGAGAGAATGATCTTAGTACTAGGGGGAGAGAATGATCTTAGTACTAGGGGGAGAGAATGATCTTAGTACTAGGGGGAGAGACTGATCTTAGTACTAGGTGGAGAGAATGATCTTAGTACTAGGGGGAGAGAATGATCTTAGTACTAGGGGGAGAGAATGATCTTAGTACTAGGGGGAGAGAATGATCATAGTACTAGGGGGAGAGAATGATCATAGTACTAGGGGGAAAGAATGATCATAGTACTAGGGGGAGTGAATGATCATAGTACTAGGGGGAGTGAATGATCATAGTACTAGGGGGAGAGAATGATCTTAGTACTAGGGGGAGAGAATGATCTTAGTACTAGGGGGAGAGAATGATCTTAGTACTAGGGGAGAGAATGATCTTAGTACTAGGGGGAGAGAATGATCTTAGTCTAGGGGGAGAGAATGATCTTAGTACTAGGGGAGAGAATGATCATAGTTACTAGGGGAGAGAATGATCTTAGTACTAGGGGGAGAGAATGATCTTAGTACTAGGGGAGAGAATGATCTTAGTACTAGGGGAGAGAATGATCATAGTACTAGGGGAGAGAATGATCTTAGTACAAGGGGGAGAGAATGATCTTAGTACTAGGGGGAGAGAATGATCTTAGTACTAGGGGGAGAGAATGATCTTAGTACTAGGGGGAGAGAATGATCATAGTACTAGGGTGGAGAGAATGATCTTAGTACTAGGGGGAGAGAATGATCATAGTACTAGGGGGAGAGAATGATCTTAGTACAAGGGGGAGAGAATGATCATAGTACTAGGGGGAAGAATGATCTTAGTACTAGGGGGGAGAGAATGATCTTAGTACTAGGGGGAGAGAATGATCTTAGTACTAAAGGGAGAGAATGATCTTAGTACTAGGGGAGAGAATGATCATTGTACTAGGGGGAGAGAATGATCTTAGTACTAGTGGGAGAGAATGATCATAGTACTAGGGGGAGAGAATGATCATAGTACTAGGGGGAGAGAAAGATCTTAGTACTAGGGGGAGAGAATGATCTTAGTACTAGGGGGAGAGAATGATCATAGTACTAGGGGGAGAGAATGATCATAGTAATAGGGGGGGAGAATGATCATAGTACTAGGGGGAGAGAATGATCATAGTACTAGGGGAGGAGAATGATCTTAGTACTAGGGGGAGAGAATGATCTTAGTACTAGGGGGAGAGAATGATCATTAGTACTAGGGGGGAGAATGATCATATTACTAGGGGGAGAGAATGATCATAGTACTAGGGGGGGAGAATGATCATAGAACTAGGGGGAGAGAATGATCATAGTAAGAGGGGGAGAGAATGATCATAGTACTAGGGGGGAGAATGATCAAAGTACTAGGGGGAGAGAATGATCATAGTACTAGGGGGAGAGAATGACCATAGTACTAGGGGGAGAGAATGATCATAGTACTAGGGGGGAGAATGATCATAGTACTAGGGGGAGAGAATGATCATAGTACTAGGGGATGAGAATGATCATAGTACTAGGGGGAGAGAATGATCTTAGTTCTAGGGGAGAGAATGATCTTAGTACTAGGGGGAGAGAATGATCTTAGTACTAGGGGGAGAGAATGATCTTAGTACTAGGGGGAGAGAATGTTCATAGTACTAGGGGGAGAGAATGATCTTAGTACTAGGGGGAGAGAATGATCATAGTACTAGGGGGAGAGAATGATCTTAGTAAAGGGGGAGAGAGAATGATATAGTACTAGGGGGAGAGAATGATCTTAGTACTAGGGGGAGAGAATGATCTTAGTACAAGGGGAGAGAATGATCATAGTACTAGGGGGAGAGAATGATCTTAGTACTAGGGGGAGTGAATGATCATAGTACTAGGGGGAGAGAATGATCTTAGTACTAGGAGGAGAGAATGATCATTAGTACTAGGGGGAGAGAATGATCATAGTACTAGGGGGAGAGAATGATCTTAGTATCTAGGGGGAGAGAATGATCTTAGTACTAGGGGGAGAGAATGATCATAGTACTAGGGGGAGAATGATCATATTACTAGGGGGAGAGAATGATCATAGTACTAGGGGGGGAAAATGATCATAGAACTAGGGGGAGAGAATGATCATAGTAATAGGGGGAGAGAATGATCATAGTACTAGGGGGGGAGAATGATCATAGTACTAGGGGGAGAGAATGATCATAGTACTAGGGGGGGAGAGAGATGACCATAGTACTAGGGGGAGAGAATGATCATAGTACTAGGGGGGAGAATGATCATAGTACTAGGGGGAGAGAATGATCATAGTACTAGGGGGAGAGAATGATCATAGTACTAGGGGGAGAGAATGATCTTAGTACTAGGGGGAGAAAATTATCTTAGTACTAGGGGGAGAAATGATCTTAGTACTAGGGGGAGAGAATGATCATAGTACTAGGGGGAGAGAATGATCTTAGTACTAGGGGGAGAGAATGATCATAGTACTAGGGGGAGAGAATGATCTTAGTACTTAGGGGGAGTGAATGATCTTGTACTTAGGGGGAGAGAATGATCATAGTACTAGGGGGAGAGAATGATCTTAGTACTAGGGGGAGAGAATGATCTTAGTACTAGGGGGAGAGAATGATCAAGTACTAGGGGGAGAGAATGATCTTAGTACTAGGGGGAGTGAATGATCATAGTACTAGGGGGAGAGAATGATCTTAGTACTAGGAGGAGAGAATGATCATAGTACTAGGGGGAGAGAATGATCATAGTACTAGGGGGAGAGAATGATCTTAGACCTAGGGGGAGATAATGATCTTAGTACTAGGGGGAGGAATGATCTTAGTACTAGGGGGAGAGAATGATCTAGTACTAGGGGGAGTGAATGATTCATAGTACTAGGGGGAGAGAATGATCTTAGTACTAGGGGGAGAGAATGATCATAGTACTAGGGGGAGAGGAATGATCTTAGTACTAGGGGGAGAGAATGATCATAGTACTAGGGGGAGAGAAATGATCTTAGTACTAGGGGGAGAGAATGATCATAGTACTAGGGGGAGAGAATGATCTTAGTA